TGGGAAGGGGCTGGGAACTCCTGAGGGAGCTGAGGGGCTCAGCCTGGAGCAAAGGGGGATCAGGGGGACCTTGTGGCTCTCACAGCTCCTGCCAGGAGGGGACAGCCGGGGGGTCGGGCTCTGCTCCAGGAACAGGGACAGGAGCAGAGGGAACGGCCTCAGGCTGGGCCAGGGGAGCTCAGGGTGGACACCAGGAGCTTTTTCTTCCTGGAGAGGACTGGAAGCATGGGAAGAGGCTGTTTAGGGAAGTGGTGGGATCCCCATCCCTGGAGGTGTCCAAAGAATTCCTGGATGTGGCACTCAGTGCTCTGGGCTGGGGACAAGTTGGGGATCAGGCACAGCTGGGACTCGATGATCTTGGAGGTCTTTTCCACCCAAAATAATCCTGGGATTTTGAGACACCAAATGTGGCCCTTCTGGCACATGGCACCAAGAGGGGCAACACTCCAGAACAGCCCCAGGGAGCTGTGGCAGAACTGCCAAAACACGTCCTGCTGGCACATTGTTCCCCATCTGGGTTGGTGGTGGTTTTTTGGTTTTGTTTTTTTGGGGTTTTTTTTTTGAAGTCTCAGAAAAACAGAGCATTACAAAAACATCAAGCTGTGAGAAGAAAAGTCAAAAGCCAGAAAATTCCAAGTTAATGCTGACTCCTTAATTCACATCATTAACTCTGAGGCACGGCTGAAGTCTGGGCAGCAGCCTGAGCTGAACTCTGGTGGGGTTTGGAACAGGCTGAGGATTTGCACATCCAAGGGAGCACAGATTCCTGTGTGGGTGCAGGAGGGGAACTGGGACTGGCTGAGTGAAGGGGCTGGATGCCACTGCCACTGGAATGGGCAAAAAAAAAAAAAAAAAAAAAAAAAAGGAGGGGCAAGAAAGGGACAGAGTTCCTGAAAAATTAGGCGGAGGAAGGGAGGTGAGAGAAGATATAAACTCATCCCAGGGGAGAATAAGATTAAGGACACTGACAAATGAGGGAGCCAAGACATGAATTAAAAGGTGAGCAGGGAAAGGCAGATACTTAAACAGGAAAAATAGGGGGTAATTGTGAAAAAGGCAAAACCAACAGGGAGTGAGAGGAGAGCGACTTGGACGGGGATCTGGCACAAAGCTGGGACTGCAGTGAAAGGGGCAGGAGAACAAAGATCCCTCAGAGAGGGAGAAATGCAATCAGGGCTGGGAGAGGCTGAAGAAGAAAAATCAAGAGGAAAAAAGGCTCAGGTTTTGTGGGCAGAAGAGTCAGGGCATTTTGGACTCCCTCCTCTGAAGGCAGAGCAGGATTGGAGCTCCCACCCCTCTCTCTGCCCAAGGCCTGCTGCACATTGATCCTGCTAGCTGAGCCCTGGCCTTCATTTCTGCTTATTAGCTCCAAAAATTCAAATTGCACATGAGAAACAGAGACCAAACCAATCATTAAGGCTGCAAATGAAA